TATTCAAATGTTTCAAATTAAAAAAAAAAATCACAGAAACCATTTGAAAAAAGTTTCATTCGAAAACCTCAAACCATGAAGATTCTATGAAAATTCAAAGAACCTATTGCAATAAAACGGCAATTTCATACTTTAACCCCTAATATTATTGTAGATCAAAATAAAAACTTGTAGGGAAAATAAAAAAAACGATTGTTACAAACCAGCAGGCTTACTCTCGAATCACAATCCCAATAAACGATCCCAATCTCAATGCAAAAAACGTCAATTGGCACTCTTGAATTCAACACTAGCGCCACATTGGTGCGGATATTGAGTGAACTAAATTTCATTGAGATTGGGTTCGAACGTTACTCTTGAAGCCACTTTGACAGCTCCATATTGCGTTGAAATTGTGTTATTATTGGATATTGTCACAATAGCGAAAGAGTAACTTTGTTAGAATTGAGTTTAATTTTTATTAGTGAAAAAGTGCATAAAATGGCTCGTTTGGTGTTGCAAAACGTTATACTTAGTGACGCACAAACGAAGGATTTGCGAGAAACGCGTAATTTGCGTAGGATTGCTCGGTACGCCGATAAAGCCCTTGCTATGAACGACGATGAATTTAAGCGAAATTATCGTGTCACCAAGGCATTTTTCCATGAATTATGTCAAGAACTAGAACCCTTGATGCAAACTCCAAAAAGAAAAAGTGATATCAGTACAAAATACAAGGTAATTATGTTTGAAATTATGTGTTTGTGATATTTGAACACATAAGTTTGTAAAAGTACGTGTTTCATTTGGTTTACAGATATTAGTAGCACTTTCATTCTTTGCGACTGGCAGCTACCAACGCCTAGTAGGAAGTTCACTAGGTACTCCGATGTCACAACAATCAGTATCTCGATCGTTGAGAGATGTATCAGGAGCATTAAATAGCCCGAGAATCCTACAAAAATACATAAAATTTCCTCAAACTCAACAAGACCGCAATAGTATTAAAAGACGGTCTGTAAAATGCATTTAATAAAGTAAACCATGAAAGTTGATTTGGCCTGTGTGTTGATTATCTTTTGCTTTTAGGTTTTATGAAAAATTTGGCATCCCTGGAGTAATCGGATGCATAGATGGAACCCATGTGGCTATAGTACGTCCTGCTGAAAATGAAGAGAGGTATTTTAACAGGAAACATTTCCATTCTAGGAATGTATTAATAGTATGTATCCAATTATATGTTCATTTAATAAATTTAAGTAACAAAAGCTTATTTATTTTTCATAATATGCACACTACATTGTTAATTTTCATTACAGATTTGTGACTCTGATTTAAATATATTAAGTGTGGATGCATCATTTGGAGGAGCATCCCATGACAGTTTTATCTGGAACCAGCATCCAGTGAAAGATCACCTTATGCAATTGATTAATGCTGGTGAATTTGCAATTTTACTTGGTAAATATTATTTCTCATAAATTTTTTACTTAAATTTACCATAATTACATTTTTTTAATATGCTAACATTATTTCAGGAGATTCTGGGTATGCACAAAGGGAATATATGATGACGCCAATCGTGGATGCTGCTGCTGGCTCTCCAGAGGAATATTATACGAAAATGCATGTCACAGCACGTAACACAGTGGAGCGCACTATTGGGGTGCTTAAAAATCGTTGGAGGTGTTTGTTGGGGCATAGGGTGTTACATTATCACCCTGATGTTGCAGCAAAAATTATAAATGCTTGCTGTGTGCTCCACAATATGTGTAACAGGGCACATATAATTGTGGAGGATGATGAAAACCTTGATAATGGTAACATAAGTAGACCTAGGTCGGTTGATGTAGAACCTGTGCAGCAAGAGAGAAGTGGAGCTTCTATAGAGCTGCAAAGGGGTGTAGAAGCTAGAGCAAATCTTGTGCGACAATTGTGGGTAGCACGTGGTGCAAGATAAAACTAAATATCCTCACAGGAAGTAGATACTTTTAGTTTAATCAAACAATCTTTTAAGTCCAAAAATATGTATTTATTTATAATCTATATTGACCTAATTATACTACTTTATAAAATTATTGTATAAATTAAATTTAAAAAAACTATTATCAAATAAAATAAAATAAAATAAAAAACTATGATCATTCGCATGATGTCAATCATGGGAATGATCGGGTCTCCCTGCTGTTGCTGCAATACAGTCGCCCAAATATCTTATTGCTGCAGCAATGAGCTCACCGGACTGCGTTATAGCAGCAGTGGACTGCGTCACAGCAGCAGCAAGTTGCGATAGAGATTGCGCTTTCTCCATCTGTGCCTGTGCATTCTTCATCTCCGCTTCTACGCGTCTCGACTCGATTTCTTCAAAACGCCGAACCTGCGAGTCCATAAAAGAAACTCTGCGGCCCTGACGCCTTTGTTGACCGAGTCGTGGCGCACGGCGACTTTCTGAAAAGAATAAATAATTAAGTATAAATTTACACACCTTGGCTTGAGGTGTATTATAGTAATACTCTAAATATAAAAATGCCTACCAGATGGAAGCACAGAACTTGTTTCGCCTTGCTGCTCGCCGTGTTCCACCCGCAGCTCAGCCTCTACAGGACATGGTGGAACTTCATCACTTTCCTGTATTTCAGATGCAACTACTTCTACAGCTGCAATCTGGGATGTGGATGGAAGGTCCACCAAAACTGAAGGGCTAGACTGTAACAGCAAAGAAAAAAGGAAGTCATTAAATATCACACAACTGAATTATGCAAATGGATATATATCATAATTGTGTGCAAAATAAAGAAATGGTTTCTTTATTAATTACTCCTAGTTTACAATATTTTTTTTCTTTTATTTATATTTCAATTTTGTTAATGTTGTTCAGCTGATCATATCATAACATATTTAAGAATATATTTATGTACACTATTATTTAAACAAAAATGTATTACAATTTACAGCCATTTTTGGCATGATAGGGACCAATACTGTAATGAGTTTCTTTCGGCATTTCTTCTCTACAGTGGTCATTCCGAAATGCTAGTAGTTTGTACCTTATTATAATACTGTTTATTCAAACCTTGACATGAAAAAGTGCTTGAGTAGGAAGGCCTAGTTTCTGAATAAACAAGTTTTATGTTATATTTTTATTTTATTATACTCACATCACTCTGCGGAAACGGATCTACAGCTAGGCCTCTGCTGCCTGTGGCAAACGAGTCACCACCCATGACCGCCACTAATCTTTGTTCGAGCAGTGACAGCTCTGGGACAACATCGAATCCACCTCCAGTGCGCCTCATAGACTGAGCCCGCTGTTGGCAGAGCTTTTTCAAGGCAGACTTCTTTTCTGCCCAATACTAATCCAGAAAAAAGGAAATAATTATGATTTAGTAAGTGATATTATTAAAGATTTAACTTCACTGAAATACTTTTTTGTTTGCTCACCTTAGCCCAAGCCTGCCCATCTTTGACCACCCCACCCATGGCGTTTGTGGCAGTCGCAAACTCCTGCCACTTCCTTTTAGTGTCCACTTTGGCCTGCTGTGTTCGCAGAAGGCCTCGTGCTATTCCTGGGTTTTGTTCCAGGAACTCCACTAAGGCTTCCATTTGGTATGGGGTAGGTCTGTTTGCCATTTCTGCAATAATAAGATACAGCATTAGGCATAATATTGTTCTTTAAAACTAATTTTACAACATTCAATCGTTTGATATCTACATATAAACATATCACGCCGTTTCCCACAGGGGTAGGTAAAGTCTAAAGAGACTAAATAGTTTGCTAAATAAAAAGTATTCGCAAGAAATAAAAAGTGAAATAATTACCTTGATTTGAGTGAAAATTAGGAAGGTGCAACGTTGTTGTGCCGTGAATATTGTCGCAATACTAAACTTCATTTTTAGTAACTTTGTCACACAATTCACAAACTTTAGAGCACTTAAAACACTTAAAATATTTCTAAAACAAATGGGGTTCAGACCACTTCAACTTGATTTATTTATGTTGTAACTTTTTTTAAACTTGATAAACTTCACACATGTTGAGGCCCAGAACAAACTCATACAGCCAAATACGCAGGTTTTAACATTTATTTTGATCATTGTTGCCTAAAAGTAATTTTATTAGTAAGAAATATACATTTTTGATAAAAGTACATTTTAAAATTAATAGTTTTATTAAAAATTACTCAAATTTAATATTTTATATCGAAGCTTTAGTTCATTCATTCGTTCTTTTTCCGTGGGTGATAGGTCGACGCATAGACAACTAGGTCGACGTCAAATTGACGTATAAGTGGAAATTACAATGCCAACACAATCCCAATTCCAATCCAATTACAATAATAATGATTTCAAGAGTAACAAACTAAATCGTGATTGGAATTGCATTGTAAAGAAATTGAGATTGAGATTGAATTCAAGAGTCAGCCTGCAGGTTTGAGTATGATTGAAGTCAGCTGTGAGCATGGGACCAGGGAACAGATTACTTAATAGTTTACTTTTTACTGGTTTACTCTCGGTCTCAGTCCGACATGAGTCCGAAACAATTGAGTAATATACGTACAATCTTAGAATAATAACGCATAGAAACCTAGCCCGCACACGCTGAGTGAGGCAAATTGAAGCGCTCCCAATGGGCCTACACGAGCGGGCGGCCCGTCAATGCTCAAGGTCAACTTGCACCGCGAACAGCTCTAGAATTTTAGCTAAAAATGACGAAATGTGCGGTAAATGAGTGTAAAAATACGTCAGACAAACATAAAATAGATACTAACATCACATTCCACAAGGAAGTAACGCGTTTCAACTTGTATTTTTATATAAATATTCACTAAAACCGAAAATTAACCTACTACTAAAACTAGCCTACATGAATTTGATTTTTGCCAGTGACAGTTCGTTTGATATGAAACTATCATTCTATGCATTATTATTCTAAGCGTACAATATACACAACTAAGAATATGGGTACTGGTGAAATTACAGGTAGGTACATGAGACTTTTCAACTTACGTATGTCTCAGGGTGATGGGCGCAGTGGCAGTGCCCCTCAGATATTTGCTTTTTTCGATTTTCATGGGATCCCCTCATCAGATTCTGACTTCTTGGTGACAAAGGGACTGTTACGGACTCCTTTGTACATTTTATACTTATTTTCTTGTTAGTCATGGTGATGATGATTTGTTGATTGTGTGTGACATGTGATGTGTCACGTGAAAAGTCGACTTGTATTTGTGGAAAATATTTTTTAAATTTGTGATAGCCGAAACGAACCCGGAACAGCATCGTCGACATCAGGGACCACCTCGAGATTATACCCTTTCAAACAAAAAAGTATTTTCAAAATTGGGCCACAATTGATGGAGAAATCGGTATGTACACGGATATACCTCTAAAATTTGAGGATTTCCTTCGATTTCCATTGATGGGGATCAATGACCAAGAGCGTGCACCCGTTCAAACAATAAAATAATTTTCAAAATCGGTCTACAATTGACGGAGAAATCAGAAAATATACTTAAAACACATACAGTCGAACGTATAACCTCCACCTTTTTTTAAGTCGGTTAGAAAAAGAAAACAATTCGTAATTAAGGCCAATCGAACAAAACATTAATAAGAATTGAAGACTTGGAACAATATTCAGTAACAACATTGTAATTGAACACCAATAAACATGAAACAGTTTCCGGTAACCCAATTGCATCAGAAACAAGAAATCTTAATTCAATTTTCAACAACATCAAAGAGTTCTGTTCCCCTTTAATATCCTTTTTGTGAATGTGTTCAAAAACACTGTTTCGCCATTGCCTTTGCCTTTGTTTTTATTTTTTATAAATATCAAAGGTTCCCCATCGTCGAGTTACCATGCTTTTCGATTTTAGTAGGAATTTCCTTGACTTTAAACAAAGATGATAGCTTTGATTGAAACGTCTTCTAACAGCTGTTCGCGATCGCGAGTATCCAAATTAATTGTACATTTACGGGAAATAAAATCAGGCGACTGCATTTGAATATTTTTATATTCATTTTTGTACATTTATTTACTTTTTGCCCAAATTTAATAGTAAAGCGGAAAGTAGATTATTGCAAACGATTTAGAATATTACATTTTAAGCCCGAGCCGCAAGCGGGATTTTAAGCTCCACGAGTAAGAATTATATTAAGAGAAAAGTTTTTGTTTATATTCGCCAGGATTTGTTCATAATTGAAACAAAATTAAATGCCAGTAACTAAATCGCATTCATACTTGCGAGTTTTTGTGACAAAATGCGGGAAAACATTTTACACAAAACTGTAAATAATATATACATATAACATCTGTTATTAATATTTTTGCCATTGATGGCCTCGGAGGTTTAACGATTTGCACTATGAGCCCTGAATGAGGTCTCGGGTGTTTTGGTTAGTGCCTTGGAGTAAATTCCGTAGCTCTGGTGTTTATAGTATAGGGTAATCTTTAGTTTGAGACCATGATGAGTTGTGGTTGTCTGGCACATTATTGTTATTCAAGCTATCTCAAATTTTGTATTCGATTTATGTGATTATTCTTGTATATTTAATTGTCCTATCCACAAGTTTGTGGAAATTGGATATATATCGATATATATTCAAAGTTGTGCGAAGCACAAAACGAGGAGTCAGGATTTCAGTTTATTTTTCCGCCGCTTGCGATAAGAATGGTCCAAAGTTCAAAGTGTCAAGTTTGATCTACTCATGACTTTTACAGAGTAGACAGTATTAGTAAATTTGGTGTCACATTTACAATAATAATACTTTCGTATAAAGTCACATGTGACCATAATGTGAAAAGTGCTTATAACACGTAATAGCTATAAAAATAATATGAACTATACGAAACAAATTATGTTTAGGTGATATTTTACAACTTTCGTAATTAACTGAAGTAACGGTCGAATTTTTAACCGACGCGACGAGGAGGTTCTCAATTTGACAGTATTTTTTTTGTGTGTGTATGTTACGTAATTACTTCGGCATTTGTGAACCGACTTTGATGATTCTTTTTTTATTGAAAAAGGGTATCTCACTATTGGCGCCAGTTAAATTTAAAACAAATATTCCACCTCTAAGGGTGGCAAACTAGGGGATGAATCCGATTTCGCGCACTATCCGGTAACATATATCAATAAAACTTGGCAAATAGATGTAGTACCAATAAACAGCCGACAAGTAAACTTTTACAGTCGGTTTTTTGTTTGTCATATTTCGATTCAGTCCGTTGTTCCTTAATCATGACATTCCGGGGCTAGTGTTCGACGAAAACTAGTCGCCGCTTTTTAATATGTTTGAGTCTCGCGGTGGTTTAATATTTAAACTCTCACTAATTAGGCATAAAAGAAAGGTATCGAGTAATTTCGTGCATAGAATGTTTGATATCTCTCTCCTCAAAAGCTTTAATTTTGCAGATGTGACTTTGGCTTCATGGCATCAACGGTGAGTTGACTAACTATTGTCAGACTGGGAAGTTTTAGTTTTTATAATACTTAGTATTTCTTGATAACACCTTAATTTGTGGTGATCCTACAGGGGAGGTTCGGTTTGGTTTGTTACGCTACAAGCAATCATCGGTAGAAACGTGACTTCTGTGTTTCAACTTATTGAGTCTACCTTGTTTTCAAATTTATTTCTTTTGGCTTCGGGAATACACGTAGGTGATTTTGTTTACTAAACGGTTTGTGGAATAGGAATCTTTGGCTGCTAATATAAATACGAAAGTTGGAATGTTTTTTACTCACTTAGGGAGTTATCGCACTTATCGAGACGGAATTGCGTTAAGCTGGTCAGATGAAGCTTTAAGTTTATACAGTAAAAGCGAAAAAGATGTATGCGTTTTGCGTAGAAACGGTCCGAGTGGAAGCAAAAAGCGCAGCGTCTTTATCGCTCTTATTGTATTGATATGCAGCCACTTCTGATCAGCTCAAGCTGATTTCTTTACGACACTGAGTAACGGGACGAACATTTGTGCGACTGGTGGTAAGCAACACGTTTGTCCCTAACAGTTGCAGAGTCACTCACTGCTTTAAGTTCCAGGTCTTTGAAATTGAGCATTGCCACTGCGTCCGTCATCCTGAGACATAAGTTTACCCTAACCCTTCAAAGCTGGAACGCAGTAATGTTTAGATTACTGCTTGGCGGCAGAAATAGGTAAGGTGGCAGTACTTCCCAGGACGAACTCTTTTACAAAGAGCTCTACTGCTACTAATTGTATAATGCTTCTTACGTCGTGTATCTATTATTAATAAAAAAAACACATTTTAGCATGGTATATCTAAACATTTATAACAATGTGATTCTCTGTATTTTAATACGTCTTTAGACGTCATTATCAAATTATTCAAATTAATTGACACCATTTTTGGGATCGACGTTCGATTATTTATGCAATTACGAATAAACTTAGACGTCATAGTTTTTATAGACACTGGGCAGATAGTAAATGTATCACGAGGTTTACGTGGCCTCTTCCCATCTCCATACAAACATGTCTGACCAGACTCCGCCGTCAGGGTAGTCGAGATCCGCAAAAGGCATAAATATGCTCACGTCAGCTATTGTGTTTTATCGGTGGTAATTTGGACCTCTAGACGCCAAAGGCGAAACTCCTCAAAACGCTTTATTTCCACCTTGCTGAAGCCTTTCGGTAGCCACCTGTTGTTATTGTACATAACAGGCAGATTGGAGGTCATTGGGCTGTGCTACTGTGTTTGAATGAGCAGTCATATAGAACGCAATTAAAGACGGTTATTTACTTTGTACCCTGAAGCGCGCTTTGAAACTACCTACCTACACCTACTACTACCACCATGTCGAATAAAATGTAGCGAAGGTTTAGATTCGTCTGTTGGCCATTTTTACAGTGATATCCAAGAGTGTCTTATTAAATACTATAATAGTGAAAAATTGGAACAGGAATTCATGTTAAGGTTCATCGCGAGATAGCGCTACTATCTGACTTTAAGAGCCTGTATGACAATCGAGTAGTGAAGCTGCTAAAAAATTATTTTAAATTTACGAAGTGTGG